CGGTTAATGAATGTACAGTTAGCATGACGGTATCTCTGCATTTCAACAGTGTTTTTAGGCTTAATGCTGATATATGATGCTGTTACCCCCACAGCAGTGAAGGGTGGGCTGATCGCTGCACATGCACATCTGGAGCAGCCGTCGTGCTCTTCAGCCTCGGCTCATGCGTTTAGTCCCTGAACTACAGCAGAACAGCCTGCTCTCTGTGTAAGTGGACACAAGGACAGTGTAAACGGTACAAATAAGAGATGTATGACACTGCAGACACAGCTCTGTCGTCCAGATATCCACACACTCTTACTCTCGACACTAGACTAGAGTATAGTGTTGTGTTCAGACATCAGACAACACAAGCTCAATCACCTGACAGTGGAGGAAGCGTAAATAAGATTATTACACACTCCTATTGGGAAATATCTGGCATTGGGATAGTCATTTTCAGCTCTATATATTGTGATATATATATTACGATATCATTAGTTATACTTGGTAAGTAAGGTTCAGTTCTCGCTCTCAGCAGACCATGTTGCTTCAGTAAACTCCAACTTACCTGCTTATAGAGTTATTAAGGTAGTTTAGGTGTTGGATTAGGGATGTAGAATATGATCATGTGCTTTATAAGTACTAATAAGCAGCCAATATCTCAATAACACGCACACTAATAAGCTACTAGTGAATAGTGAGAATGGCTCCCTACAGAGTCACCGAATGCATTCATATTGATTAGGATGATTCTGAAAGGGGGCGTCAGGGTGGCGCAGTGAGTAGCACCATCTGGTTTGAGTCTCGGCTGGGTCAGTTGGTGTTTCTGTGTGGAGTTTGCATGTTCTCCCTGTGTTGTTGTGGGTTTCCTCCGGGTGCTCCGGTTTCAGTCCAAACACATGCGCTATAGGGGAACTGATCAACTACACTGGTGTGTGTGTGTGTGTGTGTGTGTGTGTGTGTGTGTGAATGAGTGTTTCCCAGTATTGGGTTGCGGCTAGAAGGGCATCCACTGTGTAAAACATAAGCTGGATTAAGTTGTCGGTTCATTCCGCTGTGGTGAAGCTGAGGGAAAATAACTGAATGTGTAGTGGAGTGAATCATGCATAACATGTGCTAATCAGACTACAAGCACAGGTCAAGAGAGAGTTTGTAGATATCTGGACTAGAACAGGACACAGCCTCTGTGTAAGAGCAGTGTTAGCTTTAGGGTGGGTAGTTTACCATATTAACACGTCCCTGCTTTAATTACGGGCTCATGATAGAGTTTAACCACGGCAGAGCGCGAGACACTTTCTGTAAGATGTATCCGCTCCTGCAGTCGGCTCCCGCCGGCCGGCTCACCATCCCCGTCAGGAAGAAGACCTCCCGGTGCAGCGTCAGCACTGGACTGCCCTGCCCAAACACACAGTCTGCTTTAGCCCGCGGCAGACTGCACATCAGCTTATTACTGGACACCTGCAGACACAGAGGAAACAGCAACAACATGCATGTTAGATATCACTACAGCTGAAGTCAGAGTTATTCACCCTGCTGTTTATTATTTCCCCAGCTTCTGTTTACAGAGAGCAGATTTCTCACAGATCATAACAGTGTTCATAACTCATCTCTAATAGCTGATGTGTTTCCTCTTCTCCATGATGACAGCACATAATATTAGACTAGATCTTCTTCAAGACACTAGTGTTCAGCTTACAGTGACATGTAAAGGCTTCACTAGGGTAATCAGGGTAAAGTTTCCCAGTACTGGGTTGCAGCTGGAAGGGCATCTGCTGTGTAAAACATGCCGGAATAGTTGGTGGTTCATTCTGCTGTGGCGACCCCTGATTAATAAAGAAACTAAGCTAAGGGGAATGAATGAATACTTTTTTGCACTCTTGTGGGCCCCCTGGTGGCCGCTGGGCCCTAATCACCTGCTCAGTTTGCTTATGCCTAGGGCCCGCTCTGATACTATGGATGACAAAACCAGCAAAAACAATAGCAAAATAAATGCGCAAATATTTAAATAAATGCATACATTCCTGCATAAATAAAACAATAATGAAATAAATATTTATATGAATATAAAAAAAATCCACAAACTCCTGCATAAATAAATATATAGATAATGAATAGTGTGTGCAGGGAAATAGTTACAGGAATGTTGGGGGATTAGGAAAATGCTAAACTAAAACCTTCGTTTATTCAGTCTGGAATGTAGCTGCGTATTTACTTTTCCTCAAGTCAGCATGTTATATGCAAGTACGTAAATAAATACACAACAACGTAAATGCTTGGAAAGAGGGTAAAAATAAACTTGTCTTATTCCCCCAACATTCCTGTAATTTATATAATTATTTACCCACGCTATTAATTATTTACATATTTATTCATGCAGGAATTTGTGAAGCTTTATATACACTGATGTATTTATTTGCTCATTTGTTTATTTATTGTTTTATTTATGGATTTACTCAGGTATTTACATATTTGCATATTTAGTTAATGTTTTAGCAGGTTTTATCCTCCACATGATGCAGGTTACATTTAAGGAAAAAGAGTCAAATATAACTTGTTTTGGCCATCAGGTGTCGCCATTTGAAAAGCTTCAACACACTGAGTCATTTAGACATACAGCTGAAGTCAGAGTTATTCACCCCCTGATTATTTCCCCAGTTTCTGTGCATCAGAGAGCAGATTCCTCCAGCACATCTCTGATCATAACAGTGTTAATAACTCATCTCTAATAGCTGATGTGTTTCCTCTTCTCCATGATGACAGCACATAATATTAGACTAGATCTTCTTCAAGACACTAGTGTTCAGCTTACAGTGACATGTAAAAGCTTCACTAGGGTAATTAGGGTAAAGTTAGGGTAATTAGGCAAGTCATTGTATAACAGTGGTTTGTTCTGGACACAATCCAACACTAATATTGCTGAAGGGGAGAATAATATTGAGCTTAACATGACTTTAACACTATTAAACACTGCTGTTATTCTAGCACAAATAAAACACATCAGACTCTCTCCAGAAGAACAAACATTAGAGGAAACACTGAGAGAAACTGCTGAATCTGCTCATCATCATCATCATCTGGGAGATATTGGATTAATGGAGGAAGGATAACTCTGACTTCAGCTGTAGCTCTGAGGCTGTGACCCCTCACTGATCTCCTCTATATGCCGGCAGATGTGCCCACCTGAGCGGAGTGTTGCCGTGAGCAGTCCTGCAGTGTTTGATAGGACAGGTGGTTCAGCAGCAGGTGTCCTTCAATGCCGTCCTCAGTGGGCGTGTCCTTCCAGCCGGTGACCACGCCCATGTACTGTCCCGCCGTCAGCACGCGGTCTGCAAAGTCTCTCTCTGGAAGGCAGGCCGCCGCCACGCTCTTCTTGAAGATGATCCTGTCCCGGAGCTCCAGCAGCGCCAGGTCATTCTCAGCTGTACCTGTGCTGTGCAGAGGGTGGAGGTGCACCTGCCGGACCGCCAGAGTCTGACCTGACGACTCGAACATCGTCATACGCTTACCTGCGGAGGCGTAGATAACGCAACATCATTAGCATCCATCACCTGCAGACGGAAAACTGATGCGCATGCGGCTCTGTCCCAAATCACACACTACTTACACCATCCATACTACAAGCTGAGGTAGAATCGTGCATGAGTGTGTGTTGTGTGTTCAGTGAGTGTAGATGAGCGCACTGACCCACTGCCACCTGGAAGTCGGGGTGTTTTCTGGCACACTGCGCAGTGGTCAGAACCAGATTCTCCTTCAGGATGACGCCGCTGCAGAAGCCGGAGGATCCCCGCAGGAGCATCGCCTACACACACACACACACACACACACACACACACACACACACACACACACACACACACACAGACTGTGAGTGAAAGCAGTGCTGCAGTGCACCAGGCTTGATCACAGGAGGGTGAAGTGTGTGTTCTGGACCTGCCAGGGACACTCCTCCGGGCCGCAGGGGAATCCTTCATATTCCGACTTGATGTTTTCTGACTGCCGTCGCTCCCACTGACTCACGCTGCCCACTTTACCACAGGGAAACGTCACTGAACACACACACAGAGAGAGAGAGAGAGAGAGAGAGAGTCAACACTCACTGCAGGGCTGCTTCTGCTCACACTTGAGGCTGTGTATGCCTGTTGGAGCAGCCCTGTTTACAAGGCAGGAATGGTACAGTCAAAATAAAACAAATTATAGAGGGGTCGTTCACCCAAACGGTGAAAGCCTGCCATCATTTACTTGGTTTACCCTTTATGAGTGTCTTTCTCCTGTTGAACACTAAAGAAGATATTCTGAAGAATGTTGAGAATGGAAGTCAATGGTTACCGGTTTCCAGCGTTCTTCAGAATATCTTCTTCAGTGTTCAACAGGAGTAAGACACTCAGATAGGTCTGAAACCAGTTGAGGGAGAGTTAATACTGGGTAAATATCAGTTCTGGGTGAACGGACCCTCACACAGTAACTCTGCATTAAAAGCACATGTATAAAGTGTACGGTGGAGAGTGTGTCCTGCTAATATACATAACTGAAATTATATATATTTTTGGTTTATGTTGTAAGAAACACAATGAGGGTAAAGCCACATGTTTGGTCAGGATTTATTTTAAATCTCTTCAACTATTCATTAATAATAGTTGAGTTTTATAGATTTATAATAAAGCCTGAAGACTAACTAATAATACGAACTAACTAATAACTAGGCCAGACAGAATCTGCAGACATTGTGTGCTATTTCTGTGCAGAATTTTGTCAAAAATCTGTGTGTGCAGAAAAGGCCATCTTCCAGCCTAAACCACGGCGAATGAAGTTCTGCACAAGACTTTTGGCCAGCGGAGAAATTAAAATGGTCGTGCCCAACTGAGTCTGGTTCTCTCAAGGTTTTTTTTCTTCACTCCCATCAGGTGAAGTTTTTTTTCCCTCTCCGCTGTCGCCACTGCCTCGCATGATTCAGGATTGGTAGAGCTACGCATCGATGAATTTGCTCTTCAGTGTTTGAACTGTCAGTAATGATTAAAGCACACTGAACTGAGCTAAACTGAACTGAACTTAAACACTAAAACCTGAACCACACTGTTCCAGTTACTATGACCATTTATGTGAAGCTGCTTTGACACAATCTACATTGTAAAACACTATACAAATAAAGCTGAATTGAATTGAAATCCACAGACCTCCAGCCCATCATTGAGTCTGCTTATTTTAAATCAATTTCAGTAATATTATTGACTAATATGAAAGTGTGGATGTGATTTATTCACAGTACAGTGTGTAGAGTCGTGTGTTCAGAGATATTATATGAGAGACGTGCTTTCCTTACCAAATAAGTGGATCTAGATGGATTTGCACTGTGAACATTAAATAAAGTTAAAAAGCTTTTGTTTGTTTATTGTTTCATATATTCAGCTTTAACTTACGATCCTCTGAAAATAATTCTGCATAACTCAGATTTCTTACCAAATTCTCTGCAGAAATAGCAAACAATGTCCGCAGCTTCCGTCTGGCGCTGCTAATAACTAATGGACTATTAAGGCTGATTTATACTTCTGCGTCAAACGCCGCTGACGCATAGCCCTTCGCTGTGGCTGTTGGCGTCGCTGACGTGCACCTCTCAAAAAATGTAACTACACGTCACAACAACGCGTAGCGCAAGCTCTGTGATTGGTCGGCTTGGTAGCGCTGACGAGTCTGGGCGGGACCGAGAGCCGCGCGAATGGCGCGAGCGATTGTTTACAAGTGTGGAGTCCCGTGAAGGAGCTCCGGATGGAAAGTTTTGTTTTGTGTTTACCTCATAGTTAAAGTTGTTGCACGTCCGCCGGTTCCTGCCTCAAAATGAGCGAGTTTGAGCCACTTGTACATCCCGGAAGTGTTCAGGAAAAGCAAAAAAGCAGCGAAGAAACTCGACACAGAGTAACATAAACACCTCACTGCCCACTAGCGTTCCGGAAGTGTTAATGCAGACCAACAGAGACAGCAGCAGAAGTATAAATGCACAGCTACACGCGTTGCCTGCGCCGTGGGTAACACCGGTCACCTGACGCAGAAGTATAAACCAGGCTTAAGCACGTGTTTTCTTCAGGCTCTCTCAGACATTGTACAAAAGCGAGTCTCTGCTAATCAGTTTTGTTAATTGTTGGTGGTTTTGTTGAACTGTTCTGTAATCACACATGTGCGCCTGCATACACTGCAAAACATGCTGTAGCACTTACATCTCCTGTCTTTCTCTTGTCCAAATCTCTTAAATCTTAAATGTGTGTGTGTGTGTGTGTGTGTGTGTGTGTGTGTGTGTGTTGTTAGCCAGATCAAGTGTAAGGTGTGTTGGACTCACCTGCGGGCACACACTTCTCCTTCTGCTGCAGTTTCCAGCCGTAAGCGCAGGAGCACTCGTATGAATGATAGCCCGGCTTACAGAACTGACTGCAGCCCTTGCTCTTATCTATTAAACACACCGTCTGATCTGGAGGACACGGAAACACCACGAGTCACGGGAGTCAATTAGACAGCAATTCAGTGTAAACATGCGAGCATAGACGGATGAGAGGACTGCCGGTGGATGTGGAGAATTCCCCTCGGATGTTTCTTCTGTGCAAAGTCAAACTATTGGGAAACTGTGTTGAGGTGAAAACACCCCGTGAGTAAACCAGAGCTAGTGGAGCATTGGCTTATGTGTGAGGCCAGCAGTACGCTGTAACCCGCTCAGCAGATGTTTATATGTGCAATATTTATATTATCTGCTAACTACAATCCTGCTGATATCTGTTTTATTGACTCTGAATCTGCGTCTTATTTCAGAGGCTTGCTCTGTCCTCTAGAGGGCGCATTTTCAGCTGCATCCGCACACTTCATGCCTTAAATACGCTGTTTTCCAGCATCTGGCAACCCGGGTGCTGAAATATAATTGGCTAATCTGGCAGTGGGCAGAGATCAAAACAAAGACATTCTGGTGTATAATGCACCGTCTCCAAGCAGAATATCTGACTTCAGCATCGCTACTCAGATAAACAAGCATGCACTAGCATGATTCTGAAATATCCGCACACTTATTATGCTTCAAAAAGGCGAACATCCTCATACCTGTCTCACAGTGTGTTCCCGTGAAGCCGGATTTACAGATGCAGTCGTACCCCCCCACACTATCTGAACACATGGCTCCATTTTTGCATGGCTGGTCAGCACACTGGTCACCATCTAGCATGCAACAAACACCATCAGTGCGCACACAACACACGTCAGCCTACTACAGCGTATATCTATATGACATATATTCATGCATTCAAAAACAAATAAGCTCTTAAAACCGGGGAGATCCGTCACACATCTTCATTATCTGCAACATTTACAACTCACCGATGTAGACCGACCAGAAGATGTCCTTAAAGAAAACACACACACACACACACACACACACACACACACACACACACAAACAGCTGTGAATATTAGCAGTGTTAAAGCAGCAATATAATTAGGTTTTAATCAGTTAAACAGCCCTGATTTGAGCGTACACTTTGCCTTTATGGACTGAAGCTTGTGTATTAATCACTGTATTTAACGTGTGAGCAGTCCAAACCCGTGTAAAACACTCAGGCACGAGCATTAATAACATCTGTAGCTTCACCATGAAGACTGTACAGCTTTATTTTAGATTCTATAACTCAATTTAAGCATCTGAACACTGCTGGACTCAGAGAAATCTATGAGGCGCTGTTTATTATACTTGTGTCTCTGCTCTGCTGTATTCATCAATGCCTGTGATTGAGTTATTATAGCTCATGCAGACGCACTGGCCTACAAAACCCTCTCAACCAATATACACATAACTATGGAGTCAATCCAGGGCCATATACACGTGCAGAATAAAAGAAGGTTATGCAAATAATAAATAAAATATTGAGCAAAAAATAAATAATTAATGCAAAAATCGCTATTTAAAAATTAATTTTGCTAACAAAAATAAAGGACTGCAAAGAGAAAATTAAGTTTTGAGAAACAAAAAACCAAAACAATATATATTTGCAAAACATTTATACAGCATTGCCTTTTAAAACGCGGCCAGTTAATTGCAGAACATTTATTTATATATACATATATATATATATATTTATTTATTTATATTTATATATATATATATATATATATATATATATATATATATATATATATATATATATATATATATATATATTTATTTATATTTATATATTTATTTATATTTATTTATTTATATATATATATATATATATATATATATATATATATACACACACACACACACACACACACACACACACACACACACTTTTTTTCTTTTTTTATTGCAAATATTTTAGATTTTTTGCACTGCTTGATGTTTATTTGCAGCTCTTTCTTTGTTTGCAAATGTATTTTTATTTTACAAAACTGTATTTTCCCTTTGCAGTTCTTTATTTTTGTTGGCAAAATTAATTTGTATTCCTCAAAAATAATTTTTTGAACTGTGATTTTAATTAAATTGAGAGTTTGGGAAATTTAGATTTTTTTTGTGTTCAATATTTTATTTTTTGTTTGCAAAACTTTCTTTTATTTTGCAAGTATATAAATATACACACACACACACACACACACACACACACACACACACGCACACACTCACTGTCCTGTAGTTGTCCTGGAACACCTCTCTGGCCTCCTCATAGTCACACACTTCCTCTAGGCACTCCCTCTCCAGGTTAGCGGGGAGTTTGGTCTCCTCATCTCCAGTGTTGCTCCTCTTCTGACGGGAGATCACGTTGAGCGCGTCCCACTTCTCCAGGAACACAGGGGCTGAAATGAGCATCATAAGATTAACACACACAAAAGCTCCTGCCACAGACATATTAAAGCCACATTAAAGATGAAAAATCATCGTCTGTGAGCTGTTTAAGCTGAAGTGTGTGTAGTCTAGTGTGTCCACAGTCAGACTGCAGTGACAGAAACACAACACGTCTTTAAACATTTCCTGATGTTAAATTCAGGCCCACTGCAGCATCGTGAAGCAGGCGTGCAGTTTCTGATTGACAGCCACACATTAACATGTCTCCATATTAATGAGTATAAACACAGGACAGGATTGGCACAGACACTGGGATTAAAAGATCTGCTCAACTGGTAACCACTGAGCTTCACAGTAGGAAATACAAATACCATGGAAGTCAATGGTTACAGGTTTCCAAAATAAAGTCTTCAGTGTGGAAAAAAGCAAAAGGAAACTAGATAAAATGATAATTCTGTCATGGTTTACTCATCATTCACTCGATATAAACATTCAGGAGTTGCTTTATTCTGCTGAACACTAATGAAGATATTTTGAAGAATGTTGGAAACCTGTAACCATACTGACTTGCACAGTGTTTGTTTTTCCTACTATGGAAGTCACTGGTGTTCAAAATATCCTCTTTATTGTGGAGTATTGTCCTGTTAGACGGAGTAAATCATGAATAAATGTGCATTTTTGGGTGAACTACCCCTTTAATGACAGCCAATCACTGTTTATGGATAACAAAGAAATCAAACGCTAGGATGCAGTATACTATTACCTAAATTATCCTTTATAGAATGTATTAAAACATAATAATGATAAATAAATAGGCCAAATAACTATATCAGTACCCTCGAAGCTCCCCCAAGAGGAGAAGATCTGCCAGGACTGCTAAGAAAACAAACCACAATGGCGTAATGACACCGAAATCTCTGTCAAAATACTGTCAAACTAGCAAACAGTGTCGCTTTTGTTGTACATTCAATATCAGGCGATTATTTCAGGCAAATACTAGCGGGAGAACATCCGAATAATCGAGAAAAACGCGAATATCTGCAGCCGCTGAGTCCTGTGACGCAGTGTTTGCGATGAGCCTCATCACAAGCTGCCTGTTACTTTTCTCATCGCTTTCACACACTGACCAACCGCCCGTGAAGATGATGCTTGTTTTTGATGCCTGCTGAAAGATTGAGAATGTTTTACCTGATCTTTTGTGTAATCCGGCGGTCACGAAGCCAAACAAAACTGCGAGGGAAAGATATATTCCGAGACAAGCCATGATGACGGAGGAAGCGCTCTGCGTGAGAGGAAACAAGCGGAGTTAATATATAAGCGCGTGCTGGATTCAGCTGTGGGTGTCCTACATGGATATTCAGCTTCCAGTAAAGATGAGCAGCACATTCAACAGCAGAAACTGCCTCTAACTTTGACCTTCTGACTTTAGGAAATGATTATTGTGGCAGATAACGGAGCACTCACCCGCTGAAGCCGTGACGCAGATCTGAAGCGATGATGGAGTGACGTCACCACGCACAATCCACCGATAAACAGTCCAAACACACTTGCGCGCTATAGGGGGCCTGATGAACTAAACTGGCCTTAGTGTATGAGTGTGTGTGTGAGTGAGTGTGTATGGGTGTTTCCCAGAACTGGTTTGCATCTGGAAGAGCATCCGCTGTGTAAAACATATGCTGGAATAGTTGGCAGTTCATTCCGCTGTGGCGACCCCTGACTAATAAGGAAGTAAGCTTTATTATTATGCCTTAATAACTCTGAACAACATGCAGGAGATAATGGAGATTCAGAACAGTAGTAATGCTGTATCCGCCATTAACAGTGTGGCCACTAGATGGCAGCAGAGCGCAGCTGAATTATGAACTAATCATTTTTAATATTGTTATTGACGTCACTACATAATAATCTCCTATTTAAACAAGTTTATCATATTAATCTCTCCCGGTGGAGCAGATCTATCAGTGTAAACAGGTTACAATCAAGCCTCAAAGCAGTGTTAAATAAGGTAACCTGTAACCTACTATGGAAGTCAATGGTTACCGGTTTTCAACATTCTTCAGAGTATCTTCTTTAGTGTTCAGCAGGAGAACGCAGCTCATAAAGAGTTGATGTCCACCTGGGGGAGTGTGAATGAGTGAATGTTGATTTTTGGGTGAACTGACCCTGGTTTTGTCAAGGTCTACATGAATATAGTGTGTGTCAGGAGTGTTTGTGAGGACGCAGAGCTTTGCTGACAGCTGAAGGAGAGTCTCTTCAACACTTTCCCTCAAATCCTCCACATGTCAGGCGTTTCTCCACACTTATGAGCCTTTATAAGCCCTCATGAGCCCCTACAGGCAGCTGATCTGGATCTGCCGGCAGCTGCTCTCTGCTCGTCCAGCTGTTCTCCTTTGCTCTGGAGTTAATATCACACTGCTGTGTCTTTCACTCGCAGTACAGTTTTATTCTGGATTAAGTGAACTAATATGCTTTCTGATTAAAGAGCTCTTGTTCTGCAGAGATCACTCCTGCAGGAGCTTTAAACACAGCAGCAGTGTGTGAGGATCTCCAGCAGCCTCTGATGCTCAACAGCACTGAACTGGGTTTGTTCTAATCAGACTTGATGCAGAAACACTGTGATTGACATTCCCCTGCTGTACGTGTCATCAAGCCCCGCCCACTAGTGCCCATCTCATTAGCATGTCCAGCAGGCCTGAGTGAGAAGCAGCCGTCTGTCCATTCGCCATTACAGTGTTTGAGCTGCTGAAGATGATGTCAGCATAGACTAAGAGCATTATAGATGTGGAGTTCTCACTTCTTTCTCTTCTTAAACACAAAAGAAGATATTTTGAAGAATGTTGGAATCCTGTAACCATTGACTTTCATAGTATTTGGTTTTCCTATGGAAGTCAATGGTTACCGGTTTATCTTCTTCAGTGTTCAACAGGAGAAAGAAGCTCCTAAAGGTTTATAGTCGCCTGAGGGAGAGTGAATAATGAGTAAATGTTCATCTTTGGTGTGAACTGACCCTTAATTTGGCCAACACAAGAGCAAATGAGCTCCTCTAAAGCCCTCCATATGTCGTCTGCTCATGAAATATCACTTTTATTATCATCATCATCACTTTTGTCACGATTATAGTTCTGCTAAAGGCCACGCTGCTGATTATATGAAGCTTCAGTCCTCCATTGCCCTCCCTCCTCTAATGACGCTCGGGTTTCTTCTCGTCTCTTTATTTTCTGTTTAATTAATTCTTCTGTGAACAGTCACATAATGACGCTCTGCTGCAGTGGATAATAGAGCGGTTCGTTAACATTCAGCCGCTCTGTGGGTTTCTCCTCTGTGGGCTGAATGCCAGAGCCGGCTTTATAACTCTACACACACCTTAAACAAGCTCACGACACACACACATGTTCAAACTCAGGGGGACTCAGTATGGAGCCAGATCAGTCTCAAAACTTGTATTTGATCAGTTGTGTATTTACGTAGTGTGTTGTGTGTATTAAGGCGGTTCATTCCGCTGTGGTGACCCCAGATTAAAAAAGGGACTAAGCCAAAAAGAAAATTAATGCATGCCTGTATTTACGAATTGTGTATATACAAATTGTGTTGTGTATTTACGTATTGTGTTGTGTGTATTTGTGAATTGGGTTGTGTGTGTTTACGAATTGTGTTTAGTAAAGGTATTATTTCTGAGACTGATCTGCCTCTATAAGGTAGTTGTTTGTTTGTTTTTCAGCTTGTTGTGTATTTTAAGAGTTCACCATGAATGAATCTGCCCCATACAGAAGCTGGTGTACATGATTCCATCATCCCAATCTGCAATAAAACATAACAATTATTCTAAAAATGTTTATTATATCATACAAAAATATGTCCTGCAGTCAAACTCATCACATTTACATCAACATCACCTCAGAGCTGAAGAATGAGCAGTGTCTCTAATATAATCAACCATTTCATCTTCAGCACATCTCCATGTTGTTATATTTCAGGCTCAGATCATTTGCATTTGCCTGTTCAGATATGATTATTCCCCATCAGCTGAAGTAATGAAGGTGTAGACAGTCTAAACTCTTCAGCATTATCACTGACATGATGTAGGAACGCATCCGCTCACCACAGCTACTGGTTATTTCACAGCAGTGATGTCTGACTGCAGACTTATCAGACCACATGCGCATTGTCAATGTTTAAAATGCATTTATTATGATGATGATGATGATCACTTATGAAGGCTTCTGCCATGTTAAAGTGCTCACTAAAGTGTAGCACAGCTATAAATCAACAGCTCATCTCTTCTGTCAGCAGAGTAATGTAGGAGAGTTAGTATGCTGAACAGAAACCTGTGGTTCTGACACACTTAAACACAATAAAGCCCAGATATATGATGATGACTGGAAGATCAGAATCACCCTTCAAGCGCTTTAGACAACGGCTGAACACATAACAGGAAACAGAACTAACCCGCAGCAGATACATGTGAATGTGGAATGAGGGATTATTTGAGGAGGTTAAACACAGACTGGAGATAATGCAGAGGCACAGATTCAGCACACTGAACACCTGACGTCCATGAGCTCAACTGAAGAGAAGATGAGGGACGCACTGAAAACACACAAACACACACAACCCTGTAGTGCTGTAGTACTGTGTTTCCCAGTACTGGGTTGCAGCTGGAAGGGCATGTGCTGTGTATTGCTGCGGTCACACTAGAGTTTGAGCATGTGAAATTCTGTAGTATGGCGCTGTGAAAAGAAGGCGGGATTAAACTAAATGATTAGACATTAATAAAGTGAGCGATTGCTCCGTGCTTTACATTTCTGTCCAGAGCTTGTGTTTTGATCCTCGATTGGTTTCACGCAATCAAGTGATGTGATTTTTAAAGCTACCGTTCACGGCTGGGATGAAGAGGTGTAGACGGGCTGATTCGAGTCACTGTTATGGCTCCGTACTCGCCTACTGTTTTTCTAATATTAGAACTCTGGACACTGCTCAGCTCAGACAGTTTTCACATACTGTATAGTAGTGAAGTATGTGATTATGAACACAGCTCATGTCTACAGCTGGAGGGAGAGTGAAACCCGCGCGCTGAACAGCTGAACGCCTTACAAATTGTGTTTTGAATTTTACACATTTCATTTGCATATTTAAAAATTGCTTTGAATTTTACTAATTTGATTTGCATATCTATGAATTGGACTGGCATGTTGATGAATTGTTTAAAATGTATGGATTGTATTTGCATAATAAATGAATTGTATTTCAATATTTATGAATGGTTTTTAATTTACAAATTTGATTTGCATATTTCTGAATTGTTTTTAATATATAAATTGAATTTGCATATTTAGGAATTGTTTTATATTTATAAACTCGATTTGTATATTTATTAATAGCTTTAAATTTATTAACTGGATTTACATATTTATGAATTAGTTTACATTTATGAAATGGATTAGCATATTTAGAAATTGTTTAAAATTTATAAGCTGGATTTGCATATTATTAATTTTTTAATATTCATGTACTGAATTTACATATTTAGGAATTATTTTAAATTAATTAAATGGATTTGCATATGTATTATTATTTTACATTTATGAACTGCATTAGCATATTTATGAATTATTTTATATTTATGAACTGGATTTGCATATTACTGTTTTTTAATATTTATGAACTGGATTTGCAGATTTAAGATTTTTTTATTTATTAACTGGATCATATTAATGATTTTTTTATATTTATGAACTGGCTTTGCATATTTATGAATTATTTTTTATTTATGAACTGGATTTGAATATTTAAGATTTTTTTTATATTTATGAACTGGCTTTGCATATTTATGAATTATTTTTTATGAACTGGATTTGCATCTTTAGGAATAGTTTTAAATTTAATAACTGGATTTGCAGATTTGTGAATTATTTTTAATTTACAAACTGGATTTGCATATTCATGAAATGTTTTAAAGGAACTGCACTTGTGTATTTTCGAGTGTACACACTTGGTGTTGTAGATGTGAACTGTGCTGTGCATGTATAGAACTTTGTGTTGTAAATGTGTTATTTTTAAGACTCGCCTACTGATCCAATGCTATTAATTCTGACATACTCCTCAGCTCACATACTATGTAGTAGTGAAGTATGTGATTTTGAACACAGCCCGTGTCTACAGCTGAGTGAAACCAGCGTGCTGAGCAGTGCAGTACAGCACAACCCTATCATCAGCTCCTACAAACATGTTTCTCTTTAGTCCAAAACCATGTTTGCCTGCTGAACTTGGCGAACCCTCTCAAAATGCTGCTGCTGGGCAAATGCAGTCCCTCATTACAGTGATCATTACAGCTGAACAGCTCAATTCTGTGTCCCTAAAATGCGTTTTCGCCCAGTAGTGTTTCTGACGGCCGACTCTTCATTGCATCCCTCTTTATGATGTGGTTGTTTTGGCACAAAGCCCTTCAGCAAATGCTGTCCCTGAGCCCCAGTGGTCTAGGGTCTGGACAGAGTGGTGTAGACGGGGGGGTCCCAGTGTGCAGAGGAGCTGTGCGGTGCGGGGATGTTGAGTATGGGCCTGTGCAGGTATGGGTATGGGTACGGGTAGCTGGAGTACGGGCTGTAGAAGCTGTGCTCTGTGTATTCACACTGTGCGCTGCTGCTGCTGTAAAGCGTGCTGCTGTGCTCACTGTAGTGCTGCGGGCTCCGCTGCTCCGTCTTTATGTGCACTCGCTGTGGGTGCAGGTGTGCTCCAGCAGGGGGCGCCCTCCGGCTGCAGGCGCCCTGATCTGGGGTCAGAGGCAGGTACTGGTCAAACTCCTGCAGGTCAAAGGTCAAGTTGCCGATGACGTCCGTGCTGAGCTCGGAGATGTCCACGTTGCTGAAGTCAATGTTCTGTTTGGGGGCCTGAGGATGCTCTGTTTTGGGGGTGGTTGGAGGAGTCGGTGGACCGTGAGTATGACCTGAGGATTAGCAATATAGAGATGATGCTGTGTGTCAGTATAGGGCAGCACAATATACAAAACAACAACATGATCCAGTCAATTACTTTATATCTTCTGGGAGAAAACAACAGGAAACCTCCAAAATCAGACTGAAAAACAATTATTAGTGTCTATCTGTCTATCCATCCGTCCGTCTGCATTTGACGGTCAGACCACCCACACGTCTGCTTCAGGGTTAATCAGGGGGTCAGATCCACCCCAGCACCACAGTAATTCACACACATGCATATCTCCACATGTTTCTTGAGTTCACGTCTCACCTGTGTGGTCAGTGATGTGGTCCGGTGACCCAGTCAGTCGACCCATTCCCGGCTCCGCTTTATACATGTGCTGCATCAGCTCGGAGCCGGCTTCAGACTCGGCGTGGCCCGGCTTCACACTCTTCCGTCTCCTGGGCTGGTATTTATAATCCGGATGATCCTTCTTGTGCTGAACCCTCAGTCGCTCTGCCTCCTCCACGAACGGCCTCTTCTCGCTCTCCGTCAGCAGTCTGTTGAGGGCCCATACGCCGTTATTAACTCGCAGTTAGCAAAGCATGATGTATTCGTTTCAGAATGGATATCGCAATGTGCGCAATAGTCACTTAACATGATGTGCAATGTGTGGATTACAGCTGATCAAGCACAGTTCAGAATGCATGAGCTTTGTGGAGTTTAATAATGATCAAGTGAAAGACTAACATTTGCATGTGTTTTAACCCCTTAATAGTTAATGACTGGCAATATTCAACGCTTTAAATGCGTACATTTAAGTCTCATATAAAAGAAGACAGATGTCAGATTGTAGCTGAAGAGAAGAAAAGGTTTAATAAAACTAAAGTTATGTGCCTTTATGTTTATGAAAATAATAAAACAATAAAGGTATGGTTTATTATATTACATAAAATATGCTTTTTACAAAGCTGTTTTAGCCTGACATTAACAGAAAATCAAAGCTATATCCTAACAAATTTGAAGTTGATATTTCCAAAAATGAGCTTTCAGTCAGATTTAGTTTGTCTGCAGTCCCACATATAGCCACCAGGTGACCATCAGCTTACGTTGGTGACCACTCAAGAGCGAATATGAATCATATTTTTTCATATTTTTGACAATATTTTTAAAGTGGACATCAAATTCTAAAGTAGTATGGGCAGTTTAGTGGTATTTGATCCTCTAAAAACACTCTACAGATCATCACAGTCAGTCACTCATGCGTTCTTTCCAATATTCAACCCAGTAAAACTGTAAAAATAAAAACCTTGTCTTTTTGACTAATATGTCCATTCGTTTGATGATCTGAAACATGAAAGTGTGACAAAATAAGAAATCATAAGGGCAAACACTTTTTCACACCCCTGTATGCATGAGTATGTGTGCATGTACAACAGCCGTGGCCATGCAATATTTCAACATACATGTTGCATTATTGGCATATATTTCAATTATGTAAAATCTTAATATGAGCGCGTGCTTCGCATACATGTGATTTGCATATATTTCCATGTATAATATTTGTATATGGGTATTCAGAGGTAGGTCAACAGATAAGCAAAACATTACAGATCAGTTTGAGTTTACAGTTTTCAGCAGTACCTCATTTATCACACACACACACACACACACACACACACACACACACACAACAGTATGTCAAAATCATTTTGAAGACAGCTCTTAAGGGACAGCACACCCAAAAATGAAAATTCCTGAACAGAATAAAACTTTAAGCGCCATGATTTCTTATGGCCATAAACACTACAGTATCTTCATTGTGCGTGTGATGTCTGTAACCTAAGACCACTTATTTGTAAATACTTTTATAAAAATATAATTTCTTTTGTTTCTGATCTGTACAGTTGCAAGATTCAATGCACATAACCCACATATCAATGATTATTTATTGTTTATTTTTCACTTAGATGTCTTTCTGTCCCCTTGTGTCGATTTTAAATCAGATTTATTAATAAAGCACAATAAAAACCCCACTGTGCTGTACAGAAGATCTGCTAATAACATAAAACAGATATAAATGACCAGAGTACATTTAAAAAAGAAAAAGAGGGTGTAAAAACACTGATTAATGATGATTTTGCGTCATGTATGGACAGTTTGTGTATATACTGTATGTATCTGAGCTTCTGTAAAGCACAGAAATATTCCTCGGTGAATAAAGCTGATTCTGATCGTATTCCAGGAATCGCATCCCCCCTGGGAATCTATGGTTGCGTCTCAATCAGCAGCCTTGTTCACTAGTGAGTGCACTGATCAGGGTGCACAACTCATTGTCAGTGCTGTCTCAGGCCCTGTCCACAGGAACACCGGTGTTTTCGAAGCTGCAGATTTTTCGATGTGGTTCGTCTACATGGAAACACAGCAGCAGGTGACTGAAACCCAAACCTTCGGAAAACTCCGGCCAGGGTGAAGATTTTCAGAAACCCCGGGTACACTGTGGTCATGTGGACGATAAACCCAAGAGCGTTTTCCTCATGACGTCAGTGTGTGTGCTGTTTTCTCTTTTCTGATTGGCCGACACGGTTAGGTTCACACCAAATGCAGAAGAGGTGATTGAGGTGAATTCTGTGCATGCAGCAGATGCGTTGCGTAGTCCACATCGTTCGCACTGCGGGATGGTAATCCGGCTCTGTTCTCATGTGTGCATGGACTTGTGTGCAATGTACTGCCCAAATACTTAATTCTGCATTTGGTATGAACCCAGCATAAAGGCTGTTTTCGCCCCTATTGGTTCGAAGTGCCCTTAACATGCACCCCAAAAAACTAGTATTTCTCATCTCGTGCGCATGGACCTGCTTGGACAACACTGAAACACATCCCATCCGGTCGGCCACATACGCTTTAATTGCAGGAGTTTAAATATCTCAAGGGATCCGCAGCTCAATTCGGATCCGAATTTTCCGTATACGTAGATGATCGGAACTCCACGCAACTCCCGGACTACTCTCCACCGGAAATGAATGACTTCCACTCTATCGCTTGTCGTGTGCAGTGGAAAGGAGGCTTAACCCTTAATGTCAAACAAGATTCAATTCAATTCATCTTTATTTCTATAGCGCTAGATAGAAGATAACAGTAGAGGGAGATGTTTTTCCAAATATAATCTGTTATTTATTCATTTTTGACATCATTGAACATAGCTAGACTGGTTAGGAACAAACTAGCAAACATTTATGATTGTTTAATGACTGAGGTTTTGCTCATATATGAAACAGTCAAATTATTTAGCTAATGTAGTTTTAAAACTGTAGTAAAATATCAATTATTGTTGTAAAGCGTCACAAAAAAATGTGCTATATTGACGTGAATGACGAAGCTGTACTCCTTCTAGATTTTACTGCACCTTTTATCCGCCCTTGACGAATATTAAACTCAAATGACAACCAAATGACTCAGCTGTAATGTACTTAGTTAAACACGGGAAAGTTATTAGTTCAGCTGATGTTCATAAACTAGTTTTGGCGTCGTACAAAGAGGACGTTCTCATGTCAAATCAACCAAGCTCATCAGTGCCCTTACTAGCGTACACTACCAAGTGATGAACAAGCTAGGGAGCTATATTAATTGAGACGCAGCCCATGTCCATCAGCCCAACATCTGTATTTCTCACCTCCAGAGTTTCCGTTCTTTACCGCACTTTATAAGCGCCCTTAACAAATAATACATTTAAATTACAATCACATTATTTAGCTGTGATGTACTTTAAAAATATAGGAATGTAGAAATATGAATTATACTGCAGCTGTATCCCTTCTAGACTTTACCGTACTTCATATGCGCACTTCAACGGCTGTTCTGAAGCGCGAAATATGAATCACGTGACCCAAATAATCAACCGTTAAAAATCCGTTATTTAGCTATTTTTAAATTAACGAACATAGCAAACACTTCTAACGGTTACACGGCTGAACTGTTGGTGGATTAACGTTAACTGTAGCTGTCCTCTTAAAAACTAGTAAAATACATAACATTTAGTTCTGCTGTTGGTTATAATTTACAGTTTTGATGTACAACGAGGACTTCTCATGTCAAGTCAAACAAACTCATCAGTGCCCTTACTAGTGTGCACTACCTAGCCGCAGCCCGTGCGCTAATAAGTGAGTGAATAAAGCAGTGTGTTTCTGACCTCCAGAGTTTGCCGAGTGTTTTGCTGAGCTCCGCGTTGTGCAGGTGCGGGTACTGATCCGCCAGTTTCCTCCGCGCGGCTTGAGCCCAAACCATAAACGCGTTCATGGGTCTCTTGACGTGCGGTTTGCTCTTCCCGGATCCGCTCACCCGCACCGGCATGGGCACCAGAGACCAGTCGTAGCCCTTCAGCACCTGCGATACCGCGTCCCGGATACACACCGGAAATCTGCCGTCCTCATCCTCCGCTTGTTGACCCATCCGGAGCGCGGCGGGTCCTGCTGGAGAGCAGGACGGGTCAGAGTCGCACTCATCCGGACACTCGGAGCTGCAGGACCCGGTCGGGCTGCTGCACTTTTCCCGCTCCTCGCTCATAGTCGCTTATGCTTTCAAACTCAGCTTGTTTAGTAATTAAGCACCTGTCCAGTCAGAAAGCTTCAATTATCATTACGGCGCATCATCTCACACGACCCCGGTGTTTTTCTGACTGAGCTGCGCGCGCCTTTTTATGGGGATCTGTGTTTGTGTCACTCCTCCTGCGGCCTCTGATTGGTGGACTCTGGTTATCAGCTGCTGTGATTGGCGAGGCATGTTCTCACTCAGGTAATTTGATATTTAGCCACTTTGTTTATTAACATTATTAATAATTATTTACTTATTTATTTATTTATTTAGAGGCTAAATGAAATGTGTGGCACTAAAATAATATAATTTCACTTGACATTTCACTTAGCCTAAACACTTTAAATTGGTTATTTTATTTAATTAATCTCAATATCAATATTAACATCAATATAAATTGATTATTATCATTTATTATTATTAATATTTACACACAGTGAACATTGTTTAGGGTAAATGAAATGTGTGACACTCAAATAATACAATTTCACTTCACTTTATTCAGTTAATTTTAAACATCAATATTGGCAGTTCATTCTGCCGTAGTGATCCCTAATAAATAAGGGATTATTTAATAATAAGGGTATTGATATTGATATTAATACTTATGGCTGCTTATTTATTTATTCACACACAGTGAACATTGTTAATAAGTGAAATGAAAATATAAAGTAAAATAGTTTTAGTGCCTCAGATATCATTTACAGTACTAAATCATATTAGTATATCATTATACTTCGCAAAACAATCCATATTATCTTAATAAATGCTTTGTTAATGATGAATAATGTTATTAAACATGAATAAATGTGCAGGATTACACTTTAACGCACAAGACAAACATGTTTATGGACTCCTGATATCATCATTAGAGCATTAATTAAGAGAATTATGAATCTTGTTGTAAACTGTGTGCTGTTTATACAGTGTTACCGTACTGTACTGTGTCTGGTGAGGAATATTCCTGCTGTTGAAGCCCAGAAGGCACACAGTAATGTGGCTGAAACTCTGACAGACGGATCTCATTTCTCAGGGAAGTCCGTTGCTTTGTGTCTCCATCTTCTGTATGTCTTTGTTCTGGCTGCCGATTCCTCTCAGACACTTTGAATTAAACCTATTTTCAGTCAACATATGGAGCTGTTTACCTCACAATGCACCATATTTACTCTAATATTTGACTTGATGTGCACCTCAGAGGTATAAGCACTCCAGCGCAGTTTCTGACATGCCATTTTGTCATGTGGGTTGCTAAAGGCTAATCTTCAACATTTCTGCTGTTAAACATTAATTTTAATTCATTTAAAATCAATTGCCATTTTTAGCTTACTGCTAGGATGAATTAGCATGTTCCTAGCATAACAAGTATGACTTAGCATGTTGTTACCGTTATTCTAGTATATATTAGCATGTTGCTACCATCATTCTAGTATATATTAGCATGTTTTAACATGATTATAGTATGAATCAACACGTTAGCAGGTTTCTAGTATGAATTAGCATGTGCATAGCATGTTTCTAGTTTGGATTTGCATAAATTAGCATGCTGCTTGCATGTTTGTAGTATGAATTAGCATGTTGGTAGCAAGTGTCTAGTAAGAATTAGCATGTTGTTTCTAGTATAAATTGTCATGTTGCTAGCACTTCTTCAGTACGAATGTGCATATTTTTAGCATGATTCTAGTATGAATTACTATGTCGTTTACATGCTTCTTGTATGCATTAGCATGTGTCTAGCATGTTTTAGTATTAATTAGCATGTTTTTAGTATGACTTATCATATTGATAGCACTTCTCTGGTATGAATTAGCATGTTGTCACCAGTAGTATCTTGCTATCATGTTTCAAGTTTTAATGACCTTGCTGCAAGCATGTTTTTAGTAAGAATGTGCATGTTGTTAACATGCTTATAGTATGAAGTAACATGTTAGCACATTTCTAATATAAATGTACATGTTCATAGCATGTTTCTAGCATAGATTAGCATGTTGTTAGCATGATTCTAGTATGAACTTGCATGTTAGTATGTATATTATGAATCAATATGTTGTTACTACGTTTCTAGTATTAATTAGCATGTTGTGCTAGCGTGTTTCTAGTATAAATAACCATGTTGCTATCATGTTTTTAGTATGAATATGCATGTTTTAGCATGCTTCTAGTATGAATTAGCATGTTGTTAACATGTTTCTAGCATGAACTTGTTGTGTGTTAGCATGTGTCTAGTATGAGTTAACATGTTATCATTAATTTAGTGTAAATGTTTCTAGTTTGAATTAGCATGTTTACTTGTTTAGCATGCATTAGCATCTTGATAATTTGTCTATATGAATTATCATGTTGGACAACGCAGTGCGCAGTAGGTAGTGCTCTAGCCTCACAGAAAGAAGGTCGCTGGTTCGAGCCTCAGCTGGGTCAGTTGGTGTTTCTGTGTGGAGTTTGCATGTTCTCCCCGTGTTGGTGTGGGTTTCCTCCGGGTGCTCCGGTTTCCCCCACAGTCCAAACACATGCGCTATAGGGGAATTGGGTTGGCTAAATTGTCTATAGTGCATGAGTGTAAATGAGTGTGTGTGTGGATGTTTCCCAGAGATGGGTTGTGGCTAAAAGGATATCCGCTGCGTAAAAACGTGCTGGATTCGTTCATTCCGCTGTGGTGACCCCAGATTGATAAAGGGACTAAACCAAAGATGAATGAATGAATTGTCATGTTGTTAACATTTTTCTATGAATCAGCGTGTTAACATGTCTAGCATGCATTAGCGTGTTGTTAGTATGTGGCTAGTATGAATTAACATGTTATTAGCATGACCCTAGTATAAATGAAGTTGTTTTTAATGTGAATTAGCATGCTAACATGCGTCTAATATGATTTACCATGTTGTTAGCATGTTTCTAGTGTGGGTTAGCATGTGACTTGTGTGCTTTTAGCATGAATTAGCATATTGATAGCATTTCTCTGCTATGAACTGGCATATTAGTATCGTGTTAGCATGTGTTTAGTATGGATTAGCATGATGTGAGTGTGTTTTTATAGAAGTGATGATGTATTGATTATTAATGTGGACGTGATCCAGGCTGATGTTCCCTGTCCTTCTTCTGTTGGTGAACACTGGCGTGCACCTCTGCATGAGCTGGAGGATTGAACGCTCGCTCTGCACTCCAGTCAGAAAACCAGCACACATTTTCTGACATGCAATGTTTAAATATATGCAAATCCAGAGAGCCGAGATGGAGGGAATGATCTCTGACTGTTTACAGTTACTGTTGCTCAAACTAAAGCTGAGAGGTGTGGACAGCTACAGTCTGTCTTCATTTCTTGCCCTTTATTAGTGTGAGGCTTTTTCCAAACCGCTATGAGAGTCATTCTGCTGTTGAACACTAATGAAGATATTTTGAAGAATGCTGGAAACCGGTAACCATTGACTTCTACTTGTTTTTCCTGCTATGGAAGTCAGTTTCCAGCATTCTTCAAAGCATCTTCTTTAGCATCCTACAGAAGGAAGACACTCATAGAGGTTTTGAGGGAGAGTAAAGCGTGAGCACATGTTGATTTTTGGGTGAACTGCCCCCTCCGTCTTTAATCTCTGATTAATATTTGAATAAAAGCATGACGATGAACAGCTCATGGTCGTAATTATAAGCTTTATTTCATCCTGTTAGTGAAATGTTGAGAAGAGCACAGAGGTGACGGAGGATTCAGACTGCAGGAAACAATTACTGTGAACTGGCTTCAAGCCATGATCAGCGCTGTGTGGAGGAGGCTTCAACTGCTTCCAGATTTATCAGATGCTGGTGTTTACTCACATTATTCCAGTGTGTGTTTGTTCATGCTCAGCTCTGTGTTTAGCTACATGTTAGTCAGATTGAAGGGGAGAGTTCCCCCAGAAATGAACATTTACTCACTATTTAGTCAAGGTATACATCTTTCTTTCTTCTATTTTGAAGAATGCTAAAAACTGGTAACCATTGACTTCCATAGTAGGAAAAACAAATAGAAGTCAATGGTTACCGGTTTGCAACATTCTTTAAAATAACGTCTTTAGTGTTCAACAGAATAAAGAAGCTCATGAATGTTTGAATCAAATAAATGGAAGGTAAATGATGACAGAATATAAATTTTTTGGTGAATTTTTGATTTAATTTCTTAGCTGTTGCCTCCACTATTTGTACATACACATAAAAAATACACTCAACAAAATTATTACCAATCTTTAACAGTCTTTTAGTGCACAGATTTAAGCTTGGTCTCATTTTAAAGAAGACAGATGTCAGACTGTAGCTGGAAGAGTTCAAGACGTTCAATAAAACTAATGTTATGTGCCTTTATGAAAATAATAAAACAATAGATTTAAGCTTTATTATATTACATAAAATATACATTTTACAAACATGCTTTAAAAAATCAAAGCTAAATATCTGAACATATTCCCAATTTGGATTTGATGTCTCCAAAAAGGAGCTTTCAGTCAGATTTAGTGGCTGCAGTACCAGACATGACCACCAGGTTGACATTGAGTTTACATTGGTGAGCATATTAGGGAGTTTCCAATGTTTTGCATGATATGAATCATATCTTTTCATACTTTTGACAAAATTTTTACAGTAGACATCAAATCTTAAAGCAGTATGCGCAGTTTGATGGGAATTTAGCCTCTAAAAACATCTGTAAAAACATTAACATGTGGATTGCTGTAGCAAAGTAGTGCTTTACAGCTGTGATGATTGTCCTGCAAACTAATAAATAACTGTTGCTCAGTGATATCTATTAAAAATCAGTCACCAGATATGAAAACTAGACATGTTAAGCTTTCAGTTGATATAAAGTTATTGATGATTGCTTTAAGTTTAGACGACCATATCACAGATTAAATAGTAACTGTAAATGCTCCCACACTGAAAACAGCGACAACACATGCATTCAGAGGTCTTAGCCTTTTCCAGTCTACAGTTTGTCATGATTATAGGATTTAATTGCAATATAGTGAAGCGGGGATAATATGAAGCCTATAAAAGCAGTTCATGATGGTCGTTTCTTC